TCCCTACACAAAATACATTTACTTGTTCTTAATACTTGGAAGATTTCCAATGACATACTGGTCTCACCAAGCTGATTTTGATTGGGTTTCCTTGTTGGTATGCAGAACGTGTATGTGATCTTATCAAACTCCGAAGGTTCTACAATAGCTGCTCCTACTATTGTTCAATCGTCTGTCCTACTTGCAGTTGGGATTGCACCATCAAAGGAGAGGCTAAAGCAACTGGCACAAACCATCATGGGGCATCATCCTTCATGGAACCTTGGGTTGAATAACACTGAATTTGGTAGGGTTAAGCAGGTTCGACTTTCATCCATCTTGCAACACTCCCTTCATGGCAATGCTAGGTCACCTTCCCCTGCCCCTCTGCCTCATCCTCACCACCACCATCACCACCACCACCACCACCACCATCACCATCGGCACCATAATCACCACCACAATGCCCATGTATTACCTGAAACTTCACCTTCACCTTCACCTCCACCTTCACCTTCACCTTCACCGGCACCTACACCTGGGGAAAGTGCTGCTTCACCTATGTTTGGTTCTACTGCTCCTGCAAGAAGTTCTTATGCTCAGCCTCCGAATTGTCAATTTGGTTATAGAAAGAGATCTCCCAGGAACACTGAAAAACATGTTCATCTAATAACACCTGCAGTTGCTCCTACTAATGCTCCACACTATCCTGTTGCTTCACCATGGAGGGCTGGACCACCAGAACATGTCTTTCATTCTTCAGTTCCTGCTTTGAGTCCTTTACCAAACGTAGCATTTGCACATGCTGAGCCCCCTCCTAAGAATGAACCATCTGTCCCACATTCTGACACATATTTTCATGGGCCATCACCATCTTCATGTGAGTATTTTTAGCGATAATTATTTGCAGACAAAACTTACATGATGTACCTTGTGTACTGTTGGTGTTCTCCTATCAGAATTAAAATTTTGCTTTAAAATATGCTTAATGAATGATTCCATTAAATGTTTCCATGAAGTAAAATTCTAACTCTGATTGGAGAATAATACCATAGGTACTGCATCTAAGTTTTGTCCATTATTTTCATGAGCTAACATATCAACTCTAAATTAGAGACAACTTGTTTAACAATTCTTTTGCATGCGCATGCGCATGTTAATGTCATTTGTCATCTATCCTGGCTGGTATTAAATTTGTTTTTAGTTTATAAAGGAATTATAAATGGTTAGCTTGATGAAGTTGAGCATTGAAGGGAAGTAGGAAAGGAGGAAACTTCACATTTTGCTTGGGCTTTTAACTAAAACTTTCCTTGTGTCCTGAAATTGTTCTATATTGTTCTGCATTTCTGCACTTTCATGTTAGGGTAATAGGTCAGTTTAGATAAATTTCTATATGCACTTATAGGAGAAGAAAATAGAAAAGAAAAATAAAATAAGTTTTTCCATAAACTAAAACTAACTTATGCATAAGTTAAACTAATATGAGAGAGTTTCTATAAATTAATTTATGCATAAGCTAATTTTATTTTACAGAGAAGTTGATTTCATCTTTTCTTTTTTTCCTTTCTTTTTATGGAATTTTTTTACAAGTTAAAACTAGCTTATGAATAAGCTCAAAATAAATTTTTAGAGAAGTTAATATGAAAGAACTTCTATAAATTAGCTTATTCATAAATTAATTTTAACTTTTGAAAAAAATTATTTCATTTTTCTTTCCTATTTTTTTTCTCCTAAAAAGTGTTCCTACAGAAATTTATTCGAACATGTGCATGAAGTATATAGAGTCTACTACTTTGATTTTTTGTTTTTATTTGCCGTCTTTTCTTCTCCGATCAAAATGTTCTTGAAGACAACCTGAGCAACAGACTCTAAATGGATGTTTCTAGTTCTTCAGTATTAAATTTACCATTCCAACATAAGATTATAAGCATGGGAAATTCCAACATCATATTCTCTTATACCTTTTTAATATATTCTTTACTATTGAGTGAATTTTACCTGGGTCCTACCAGAAGAAGGGTAGACTCGGGCCGTTTAGTGAGACATACATGACATTCTTCTAATAAAAGAGTAAGTTGGAAAAGTGTGTTAGTAAGTAGTAACATTGAAATATAACCTCTTGATCATTTGATCTTGTGACACACTTCTATCTCAAAACATTTAAATTTATAATAATAATAAAATATGACAATTAAATATAATAAAACTTAACTCTTGAACTAAAGGATTCACGGTTCACGACACCTTTGCTAATAAAACAAAAAACTAAGAAATATAGGTTCTAAAATAAAGTTAATACTTGGCCACTAAAACAGTCTTTACAAGTTCTCAAACTAAATAAAACCATGATAAAACTCTACCAAGGACATGTTCATCATCAAAACACAAGTCATGCTATTAAGAAAAGCTATGAAGCCTAACCTTCGTCTCTTGCAACTTCATCTTGCTCAACAAAGTCATGCTCACTTGTAACAGTAATTAGCCCAAGCAACAACAAACACAACAAAGAAGAGAACACATGTTAAAGAACATATAAGAAAGACACGTAGCATCTAAAAACACTTGACAAATCCACTCTCAAACACAACCACACACATGGCTCAAGACTCTATACACAAACTCGTATGCTCTTAGTTTTATATGCATGTGATACTATTATCTCTTTGTATAAACCACTTGCATATTAGTTAGTCTAGGAGTACATGGGAATAAGATTACTACACAATGGGGAAGCTACTTGCAATCCACTCTCACTAGAACGAAGATCTATTAGGAGTTAGTTAGGGTTCTATAGCTGGCCATGGTTATCCCTTATCCTACCACTCATAAACATGAGATTTCCCACCATAAAATCCTCAAGGCCAAGGTAGAAGATCATAGAGACCTTCCCATATAGATTCGCATCCACCATGCATTAATGCATGGACTCAATCACACTTCACAACACACAAATGCATAGCTCACTACTAGGAAATTCTTAGACTTTCACCCTGTTAGACCAACATTTAGACTTCTCAAATGTCCAAGTGTAAACTTGGATTTCTCCCCTCTAAGTCATTACTTAACTTGCAACACACATAACTCACATGAACAAACAGCTCAAGCACAAAAACTCGTACACATCAATATTACAACACTTAGCTCTTCTCAATTCTTGCATTATACTCTTTTAAATCTCTCACGTATATTATTTCTGTTGTCTATTATCTCACACCAAGGCTCACTCACCCTTCAAAGTCACAACTACCCAAATTACAAGATACACTATGTTCGCACATTATGCATGACCTAAACACATGCGTGCATACACTAAACATGGCCAAAACATAGGTGTGCTCCACTTAGTCCAGGCATGCTCCACCCAACATGGCCTCAGCATGGTCGTGTCAACCTCTAGCACAACCACGCTCCCTAGGGCAAGGATGTTCTCGAGTCTCGCTTGAGCAACACAAACCAAAGCACAACTTTGTCACTTAGCATGGACATGCTCTCCAACAGGCATGATTGTGGTTCACTCGGGCGTGCTTCCAACACACACAATCGTTGTTCATTTAGCGCAACCTTAGTGATTGTGCTATCAGAATAGAGTTTCAAAACCGTTCAAGACTTATCTAATAGGCACAAATTATAAACCAAATCTTTGTTTTTGCACCAATTCTCAATCTAATCACATCCTAACACTTCAACGACATATAATACTCAAGGTAACCAATCAAATTCAATCATACACAACAATCACATAAAAAAAACCCAATTTCTACACCTGAGAACCCTACACTTGTACATACATGACAGACACAATTTACATGAATCAACCAGCAATTCATTCCACACAAACAAATCACACACAATACATGCTACTCGCTTCGAGGTGTTCATGATCCCTCTAGTCATACAACAAAAAATCTAAAGAGACTTGGGGGATTGTCTCACTACCCATAATTCTTATATATGTCACACAAGGAGACAATCTCACTTCCCCTTTTTCCTCAAATGATGATCTCTAATGGGA